GGAAGTGATTACAAGTGTGTTTGCAGGGCTGTGAGATGAATACATGTGGAGAAAGGAGGGGGAGAGAGAGCCACCCCAAAATAGAAAAGATGTTTTCACCTACCACATAAATGATCAGTCACACACATTTCCCAACAGTTAATTGTGGGTCTATATTTGTAGAAATAAATACACAAAATAAAATGGAGAGTTTCTGCCCATCTATGAAGGTACATTTAGGCATGGACCTAATTAAGGGCAGATATTTGGATATAAAACAACTCCTCAAAGGCCCTTCTAAGAGTAAAAATGGAGCATCTGGGGGTGCCAGTCATTATCTGTTCATATATTTGAGAGCTAGGGGCCGGCACTGTGGGAGAGCTGATTGCATGAGCTCAGTTTATGAAAAAATTTTGGGCTGTACAAAAATACAATATGTTAACTTCTCTTATGTACAAGTTTGTGGAAAATGCATAGTATGAACAACCTATGCATTGATTCCAAAATTTTCTGCAGCAAAATAAACTTATCTTTTAACTCCATTTGCCCATAATCTTTTTGAAGCTCCCTTGTATAGGTATTATACTTTCTCAAAATGTAAAGCCTCTGTCTAAGATTTTACTTTAGGGAGACGGTCAATAATTTTTTAGGCTGTTGGAATTAAAGAATGCATGCTAGCATGTAGAACTGGATTGCTGTCCTGTCCACTCATTAATTATCCATGGAATGAGTTGGACCTGACTCATCAGCTTGCTGTTCTTGCCAGAGGAGACACGACTATGGCAATTACACCAATGATGTGTTGGCCTAGGAGTGACTTGGCAGCACCCACATGCTGGTCTACCCCCAAGAACAGCCATGCCTCTGATTACTGGGTGTGACTGCAATGAATGACTCCAAGGGAGTTGGAGAAAATTCCACTAATGGCCTGCCCTGGGAAGAAACAGGAGAAAGAGAAGGACAGAGAGACAGCAATGTAAATAAAATTGTATTCTATTATGTCTAGCATAATATTGTTCTTCATGCTATAGGCTCCTATATTCCTATCAAGCATAAATCATCCTATTTATCATTTATCTAGTGGGAATGACAACTAACACTGGGACAGACTTTTGCTTTAAACTTTCTCATCCTATTAACTCTGAAATTCCAGGTTCTCTTAAAGAACTATTCATCAAATGTGGTTTACTGTAACCATCAGCCTTGATTCCTAAAGCCTAAGAAGACTGACTGGGAAGGAAGTGGAATTCTTGTTCCCTAAAAATGTTGGTACAGTCCAGCTACTTGAGCCCCTTGGCCAGGCATTGCTTTAGAAATATCAAGTTTCCACACCGGCGCCGCGGCTCACTAGGCTAATCCTCCGCCTAGCGGCGCCGGCACACCGAGTTCTAGTCCCGGTCGGGGCGCCGGATTCTGTCCCGGTTGCCCCTCTTCCAGGCCAGCTCTCTGCTGTGGCCAGGGAGTGCAGTGGAGGATGGCCCAGGTGCTTGGGCCCTGCGCCCCATGGGAGACCAGGAAAAGCACCTGGCTCCTGGCTCCTGCCATCGGATCAGCGCGGTGCGCCGGCCGCGGCACGCCGGCCGCGGCACGCCGGCCGCGGCGGCCATTGGAGGGTGAACCAACGGCAAAGGAAGACCTTTCTCTCTGTCTCTCTCTCTCACTGTCCACTCTGCCTGTCAAAAAAAAAAAAAATCAAGTTTCCAGAAACTCCTCTTGTAGTCAAACAAATGCCTTGTAGGAAGACAGCATCCATTAGCTGTGAGAATTTCCCTGCTGTTTTCTTTAACTATGAAATAAATATTTCAACATGATGCTCCAGATACAAGGTTCTGGAAAGCCACCCTATTGAAGGAATGGACAATATTGGCTACTTAAAAGGAGAAAAACTGAAAATACACAGAGCTATGTTGCCAGCATTGTGGCCTAGTGGGTAAAGCCACAGCCTGCCATCCCATAAGGGCACAGGTTCGAGACTCTGCTGCTCCACTTCCAATCCAGCTCCCTGTTAATGTGCCTGGGAAAGCAGCGTTAGATAGCCCAAGTGCTTGGACCCCTGCACGTACATGGGAGACCCAGAAGAAACTAGGATTCTGGCTTCAGCCCAGCCCAGCCCCAGGTCGTTGTGGCCATTTGTAGGAGTGAACCAACAGATGGGAGATCACTCTCTCTCTCTCCCTTGCTATCTCTGCATTTCAAATAAATAATTTTTTAAAAATTGAAAATATACAGAGCTCAAGGCACTCAGGGCTTCTTGCTTTACAAGTGCGCTTCACAGAGGTCCCCTTCAGGTGCTATGTGTGCTTCTCTGCATGTATATTGTTCGTGAACCAAAACAAGATGGCCCAAAGATGCAAATTCACTCAGAAGGACAGGAAGAGCACCAGCAGTTCATCAATAGGGCTGGCATTTTGACTCAGTGGGTTCAGCTGCCATCTGCAATGCTGGTGTCCCGTATGAGTGCTCACTTCCCATTCAGCTCCCTAATGCACCTGGGAAAGCTGTGGAAGATGACCCAAGTATTTGAGTCCTTGCTACCTATGTGGAAGACCTGGATGGAGTTCTAGGCTCCTGGCTCCAGCTGGCTGAGCCCTGGTCATTGTAGCCATTTAGGGAGTAAACCGTTGGATGGAAGACCTCCTTTCTCTCTCTCTCTCTCTCTCTCTCTCTCTCTCTCTCTCATTCTGCCTTTCAAATAAATAATTAAATCTTCAAAAAAATTGCTTATCGTTGTAAATTACAGGTAATGAAGTTTGCCAGTTTAACCATTTTAAGTGTACAATTCAGAGATATTAAGTACATTCCCAGTGTTGTGCAACCATCAGCACTAACCACTTGCAGAACTTTTGTCATTATCCCAAACAGAAACTCTGTCAAATGCTCGACTTCACTGACTCCTTCCAACCACCCTGAAAGCCACCTCATTTCCCAGGTGAGGAGACTGAGGCCCAGCAGACAGCCTGAATAGGTTACATGGCTGCTCAGTGGCCACCTGCCAAAGATCGGGTTGTAACTGCTCCGCTTCCCCCAGCAAACCAAGGGAGGGACATACCAGTATGTTCTCCAGGCAGAATTTCCTTCTACAACCAACCAAAGGTCTCTGAAGTAACTGCAAACACGAACAGGTGTCAAAATAGAAAGAGTATTACAAATCTGATCTGAAAACACTATTGCCTAATCCCCAGAGCTGACTCCTTCTGTCACCCCAGGCTCACAGCTAACCGCAGGTTCATGACCACCTGCAACAGGTTTGCCTCAGGAACAAGAGTATTCATTTCCCCCTACCACAGCCAGTAGAGGCAGCATAGCCAGGTGGGCCTCCTCCATGACCAGGAGGCCCAGGGACCAGAACCGGCAAACACTCTGGTCATCCCACACATATTCGTATTCAAATCAATTTAACCTAAATCAGCAAGTCCAATTTCTTGAGGCAAGGCACGAGCTACTCTATCCACTGCAAAAGGAGATCCTGCAAGGGACTGAGAAACACACCATGTAGGACTCTCCTTTTCCCTGGCACTCTTCCCCCTTCTCACCTCTCACGGACTTGGAGAATTTAGCAGGACAACCTGAAGCTATATAGCCCAGCCCTTTCCTTTCCCTTCTTTTTCTTCCAAAGCAGAATGCCTATCATTTGGCCTGATCTGGGGGTTAAGCATTAGGAAGTCCTTTGCCCACAGATAGAATCTCTGACCATATCCCACATAACAAGAGCCCAAAGGACCCATCCCCCACCCAGGGTCCCTGGGCAAAACAGTAACATTTCATCAACAGCTGTCTTTCAGGCCCAGACACAGGAAACAGGTGGCTTCAACTCAGGAAATTAGCGGCTTCCACCAACCTGGGATAGTCACAGCCACAGCCAGGAGAGCTGAGCATATGCCAACATCTGAGAATTAACCAGAAAGAAACATTTCCTTAATGTTAATGCTAAGATCTCCATCCCAAGTGGGGCTTAAGCCTTTTTCGCTTAACACAAGATGTACATTTAAGCATGTTTCTGAGCTGTGCCTGTGTGGGCTTCTGCCTACCCTACATCTGATGACAAATACTTTCCTTCTTGCAAATCATTTCCTTTAGGATAAGAGACACCCAGTTCCCTCTACTTTGGAAATGACTCCCTGTGGTCTCCTTATTTGCTGCAAGTAACAACTCCTACTTTGTGTGCCAACTACTTATGGTGGAGGTTCTGACTTGGAATCACCAAGAAGTGGAGCCATGATGCCGGTGCTGTGGCATAGTGGGTAAAGCCGCTGCCTGCAGCGCCAGCATCCCATATGGGCACCGGTTCATGCATCAGCTGTTCCACTTCCAACCCAGCTCCTTGCTAATGGCCTGGGAAAGCAGTGGAAGATGGCCCAGGTGCTTGGGTCCCTGCTATCCACGTGGGAGACCTGGAAGAAACCCCTGACCTGGCTTTGGCTTAGCCTAGCCCTGGGCTATTGCAGTCATCTGGTAAGTGAACCAGTGGATGGAAAATCTCTCTCTCTCTCTCTAGCTGCCTCTCTCTCTCTAACTCCTGACTTTCACATACATAAAAAATTTTTTCAAAAAGAAGTGGAGCCACCACCGGAGTGGGTAACATGACCTCCCACCTGGCCTTTGTCAGCAATAAAGGTAATGTGTTGGTCTCCACCTGCCACTCTCTGCTCTCATATCCTAATTGTGAAGAAGACAGGCAGCAGTACTGTGCCCCCTTAAAAACTCTGGCATGCTTTTTTGTTGACTGAAATATCAGTCTAGTTGAAGAGTAAAATAAGCAGAATTTAGAGTCAAAGTGAGGACTTGCGCCCCGTGCAGGTCAGCAGCCTGAGTAGACTGCACCAGTTGTGTCTGTTGGGACTCGGGTTTCACACCCTTCTTCCCCGAGTACGTGCAAGAAGGCAGGCTCACAAGACACATTCAGTCACAGTACATCTGGCTGGCCTTTACCGAGAGGACAGCACCCTGTGACACAGAGCAAGCCTGGCTGTGATTCCAAGGGAGTATGCAATAGTGTTACCCATACGCAGCAGAAGGCAAGTATTGGGGTGACTGATTATTTTACCACAATGGCCTTGGACATAAAGCTGATTCCTTTCATCCTTTCACGGTTTTTTGGCTGCAGCAGATGTCCCTGCTGTGGAGAGGTGAGGGGTCGTGAAGTTAGCGCGTGGCGTCTTCACAGCATACATCCTTCCAGCTGACTCAGGCCTCTGCAGTGCCTCTTTTATTCTGGAGACTTCCATCAGTTCACAGTTGCATAGGTGAGTGTTAGCAGTTGGAGGTCCTTGCTAAGAAGCCAGTTATTAGAGTCGCCAAAGGACAAAACTTGCTCTGAGTATTGTCTTTAGAAATGTTTACTACTCTTTAGGAATTGCTGGTTTAATTGACCCTGTCCAAGTTATGTGCTGTCAGCAACACCGGGTCTTCTCATCACACTATGCCATAATTTGCATGTCTCATCTCATGTCTGTTCAACTTTTCTTCAGGGCAAGGACTCTGGCTTGTTCATGTTGTACATCTAGGAATTAACAGGGAGCATGGTATCTCGCAATTGTTGTGTATATATTTGATTCTTATCAAAAGCTAGTAAAATTTCTTTTGGGAAAGGACCGCCTTTGGGAAAATACTTAACAAGCTCTCTGTTGTAGAGGTGAGAGGACTCGAAGGCAGGCCAGAGAGGTGGTTAAGCTGCTGTGTATGAGAAAACAGGAGGGATTCCTAATCATTTTCTGCTGATGTGGAAGATGGAGAGTGAGGCTGAGGACGCAGAGAGAACAGCCAGCAAGCAGGTCAGCTAGGTCACAGTGGGGGACTGATGACACCTTATAAACAGCGACCCTCAGAGGTGCAGCTGAAGCAGCACTGCTGTGAAATGATACACTCTCCCTCTTCCTATGTGTCACCAGCAACTGTGGCTAAAGCTGGGTGGAAATCTGGGGGAGGTTTGGGGTTTCCTCCCGAGGAGACCCCAGGCATCTGTGTTACAGGAACAATGCTTGTGACTGATGGCTGGCAGAGTATTCTGTCCGTTACACATCATAAAGTAAATTTATCTTTGGATCAATCCAGATCTCAGAGAGCTCTAAGGCAGGGCCCCTTTTTTCTGCCTACTAGAATTATTTTTGTTGAATTGAATTTGAAGGAAGTTATAAGAAAAAAGCCATAGAACCTCAGAGTCAGCCCTTAAGGCATTTGGATCCGGCTAAAAAGCCCATGAGAGTTTCTCAGGCATGGAAAGCCAAGACACTGTGGCAAAAAAAATGACCTAAGTGAAAGATCTCTGTGAGAGAGATTCCAGCAGAAATAACGGGCCATCAAAGAAAGAGGTACCTTCCTCTTAAGGGAGGAGAGAACTTCCACTTTGATTATGGCCTTGTCTAAATAAGGTCGGAGTTTGTGAACTGAAGAGGCTTCCATAGCCTTGGCAGCTCATGACAAGAGCCTCGGGTGATTACTGATGTCATAAATAAGAGTGTCAACTGTTGGCTCAACAACGGGAGTCACTGTGCACTTACTCCCCATGTAGGATCTCTGTCCTTAATGTGTTGTACTATGCGAATTAACAGGTGAAACTAGTACTCAAACAGTACTTTATACTTTGTGTATCTGTGTGGGTACAAACTGTTGAAATCTTTACTTAGTATATACCAAGTTGATCTTCTGTATATAAAGATAATTGAAAATAAATATTGATGAAGAATGGGATGGAAGAGGCAGTGGGAGATGGGATGGTTGCGGGTGGGAGGGAGGTTATGGGGAGAAAAGCCACTGTAATCCGAAAGTTGTACTTTCGAAATTTATACTTATTAAATAAAAGTTTAAACAAAAAAAAACCATAGGAAACACATTACTAAATTTACAGTGAGGCTTTTGTTGAGACTCATTACGTGATGAGGCTCCATAGGAGAAATACTTTGTATTATTAAAAACTTAAAAGCTGGGGCCTGCGCTGTGGCTTATCGTGTTAATCCCATATGGGTAACAATTTGAGTCCTGGCTGCTCCACTTCTGATCCAGCTCCCTGCTAATGCACCTGAGAAAGCAGCTGAAGATGGCCCAAGTAAATGGGCCCCTGCACCCAAGCTCCTGGCTCATACCTTCGGATGGGCCCATCTCTGTCTGTTGCAGCCATCTGGGGAGTGAACCAGTGGATGGAAGCTCTCTCTGTCTCTCCCTCTCTTTCAAATAACATTTTTAAAAAAGTTTTCTCACAATAAAATTATTTTTTATTTAAAAACGATGAATATTTTAACTAGTTTTATTTCTACATTTGCTTTGGTTGCTCAAAAGCTCCCAACAAAATTAGGAACCCATCTCTGATGACTGAGCAGAGCCAGGACACCCAGTTTGATACCATCCTTACTCCTGGATACATCTAATTTTCTTATTTGCATTTTTCATTTGTACCAACAATCTCATTACTGTTTGAAGGAGGTTGGATTACATACAATGCTAAGTGGTGCTACCAATAATTATTCAACAAGGCAAAGCATAATGAAAAGAAATTAATATGCTCTCTGAATTATGCTGTCTCTAATTGCCACCCCAGTGTGCTCTGTACTTGGAAGAGTGGAAAGTAGGAGATAAGCTATCTTTCTCCTGCAGTGTGTTGGTGAGCACTTACCCAGCCCTTCTTCATTCTCCCTAAAGATGCACTTGCTGCCATTTTTAGCAAACAGAATTTATGTGTCAATATTTTGGATCAAAATTGTGCTAGCTCACCTGCACGCAGACACACACACACTCTGCTTATTCTGTGATCCAGAAACCCTTTACTTCTCACCCACACAATTTAGATCTGGAAGTCTCTTAGCTCTTCTCAGGTATGAATGTTTATTTCTTTAGTGCATTTTCCTTATAAGTTACCTGTATATAATATAAACACTTCCCCACAACTTATCTGCATTATGATGTTTGGTATCTGTGAGAAAAAGAGTATTTCAAAAATTAAATGTGAAAACACTACTGGGTAAACAACCAAGTACTGCAATTAGTGCCATGTTTCCCTTGATCCACCCCCTGTCCCCACAGCTGCCTCCTAGAGTCACCACTGTTATCAGCTGTATGGATAGCCTTCTAGCCTCGTGGGTATGCTTTTACAAACACACACGTGTATCTATGGCAATGTAATGGTTTTAATTATGTGTGTCTGTGTGCTAAGTAAATGGAAGCCGCTGTGCGTGTTGTGCTATTCTGCATCTTGCATTTTTCAACCTAACAAAGTGTTTTAGAGCCCATTTCCTGCTCCAAGGGAAGAGCTCTGTAGTAGGTTAACTTACTCCACCAGGAGCTTCTGGCCACTGGCTGCTGCTCTTCCACCTTTACTTTTCAATCAATAGCACTGCACAAACACACACACACACACAAAAAATCCTTAAGTTGCAGGTCATAAAGAAATTTTGAAAATCTGATTGTAGAAACATGATTACGTCATGGAGTTGCTATGCTAAAATTCAGTAATGAACCATATTACTACTATTATTAGACTTGGTCTGAAGATCCTTTATTCAATAACGACTCACTGGTTGCTTCCTAGGCACTGTTCCAGGCTCCGAGGATACATCTGTGAGCAAAAAAGACCATCTCTACCTCATGGCGCTTACATTGTCTTGAGGAGAAACTGACAATAAAGTCAAAAGAATCATAAGTGGGTCAGTAAGTACTACAAAGACAAATTATGGAGGACAGGCAGTGTGGCCTCATGGGTTAAGCTATCACTTGGGACCTGGCCTCCCATCCTGAAGTGCTGGTTCAGATCCAGCTTCCTGCTAATACACATCTTGGGAGTCAGCAGGTGGTGGCTCAAGGATTCCTCGGGCCCACAGGAGACCCACACGAATTCCTGACACTGGCTTCAGCCTGGCCCAGCCCCAGCTGCTGTCAGCAGTGCTCTCTCTTTTTTACTCTCTCAGACTTGGAAGCAGATGAAAATGAATAATCATTTTTAAACAAAGAAAAATTAAGAAGAAAACAGATTTCCAAGAAACCAAGGACTACAGTTTTATTTATTTTTTTAAAGATTTATTTTACTTCAAAGGCAGAGTGATAGAGAGGAAGAGGGAGAGAGAAAGAGAAAGAAAATCTTCCGGCCGGCACCGCGGCTCACTAGGCTAATCCTCCGCCTAGTGGCGCCGGCACACCGGGTTCTAGTCCCGGTCAGGGCGCCGGATTCTGTCCCGGTTGCCCCTCTTCCAGGCCAGCTCTCTGCTGTGGCCAAGGAGTGCAGTGGAGGATGGCCCAGGTGCTTGGGCCCTGCACCCTATGGGAGACCAGGAAAAGCACCTGGCTCCTGGCTCCTGCCATCGGATCAGCGCGGTGCGCCAGCCGCTGCGTGCCGGCCGCGGCGGCCATTGGAGGGTAAACCAACGGCAAAGGAAGACCTTTCTCTCTGTCTCTCTCTCTCACTGTCCACTCTGCCTGTCAAAAAAAAAAAAAAAAAAGAAAAAAAAAAAGAAAATCTTCCAATCGTTTGTTGACTCCCCCAAATGACTGCAACAGCCAGGACTAGGCCAGACCAAAGCCAGGAGCCTGGAGCTCCATCTGGGTCTCCACGTAGGTAGCAGCAGGCCCCTAGCACTTGGGCAAACTTCCACTGCTTTCCTAGGTACAGCGTACCTAGCAGAGCAGCCAGGACTCAAACAAGGGCTCAGATATGGGATGCTGGCATCACAGGCAGTGGCTTAACCTACTGTGCTGGTCACCCCAGGGACTGCAATTTTAAACATTGTGGGCAGGAGTGATCCATGGAGAAAAGGCAACATTGGCGCCAACTTGATACCTTCTGTTTCTACAGATATTAAGTAGCTTCATTTTCAGAGGGATAGAGGGACTTTCAGCAATTTTCTACTCACCACACAGTCCTCCCACTGCTAGCTCACCTTTCAAAACTTGATTATTGTGGGGGCCAGCGCTGTGGCGCAGTGGGTTAATGCCCTGGCCTGGGGTGCCAACATCCCATATGGGCGCCGGTTCGAGACCCGGCTGCTCCACTTCCAATCCAGCTCTCTGCTATGGCCTGGGAAGGCAGTGGAGGATGGCCCAACTTCTTGGGCCCCCGCACCCATGTGGGAGACCCAGAGGAGGCTCCTGGCTCCTGGCTCCTGGCTTCGGATCAGCGCAGCTCCGGCCGTTGTGACCAACTGGGGAGTGAACCATTGGATGGAGGACCTCTCTCTATCCCTCTCTCTCTCTCTGTGTAACTCTGACTTTCCTTTAAAAAAAAGAAAAGAAAAACTTGACTGTTGGGACCTACAGTTAGCCGAGGCTGAGCAGTTAAGACAGTGGGTCAGACACTCATGTCCCACATCGGAGTCCCTGGGTTTGACTGATACCTGCCTCCAGCTCCAGACTCCAGTATCCTGCTTATGCAGACCTGTGAAGGCATGGTGGTAACTGAAGCATCTGGGTCCCTCCCATCCAGGTAGGAGACCTGGGCTGCATTTCCAGCTCCAGGTTTTGGCCATTGTAGGCACTGTGGAATGAATCAGGGGATGGGAGTTCTTTCCCTTTGTCTTTCAAATAAGTAATTTTTAAATTATTATTGGGGTCAGTGTTGTGGCACAGTGGGTTAAGCCCATTTTCAATGCCAGCATTCTATATCTGAGTGCCAGTCTGAGTCCTGGCTGCTCCACTTCCAATCTAGCTCCCTGCTAAAGCACCTGAGAAAGCAGTGGATGATGGTCCAAGGGCTTGGGCCCCTTGTCACCCATAGAGGAGACCAAATGAAGTACCAGGCTCCAGCTTTGGCCTGTCCCAGCCTTGGCCATTGCAGTCATATCAGGAGTGAACCAGATCTCTCTTTCAGATAAATAAATAAATCCTTTTAAAAAGATTATTGGGTTGGCTCCTGTTCTGGTTGCTGAGGTACTTTCAGCAGTTATCAAAGTTCCCTATCTCAGAGAGTTCACATTATAGAGCTGTGCTGTGCAGCACAGTCACCAGCGATTGGTATTTAAACTAAAAGTAAACATTCAGGCCCACAGTCAGTCACCTCAGCCACAGCTTAAGTGCTTAATAAGCACACGTGGCCAGTGGTTACTATATTGGACAGAGCAGATATAGAACACTTCCATCATGCAGAAAACTTTTTAGGGCAGCTCTCTTCCACAGGAAGGAATCCTGCCGTGTAACCTGACTAAAGCAATGATTTGGTGACAGGCTATAAAAAGTCTGGGACCAAAAAGAGCAGTGAAAATTCAGTAACATTTGTCAAAGTGAAGGGGTCCAGACCACACACCAGGAACAGTCCAGCTTGGCTGTTTCACCCGAATCACCAGCACATGTTTAATAGATCCCAACCCCTCTGAGTTCTTTATCAACGAAACCACATTTTGACTAACCTACTTTCTATACTGCAGCTAACCAACTAGAATTTATCACAAGTTAATGGTATTCTGGTTTATAAATCCATCTCTTAAAAGTTTAGTAAACAGAAATCAGTCTCTCTGAATCTGACCCCCAGTGAGCAAAGTGATCAGCCCCACACTAAGAACCAGATTCTGTACTGTAGTTACAGAAAGGACTCCCAGCTGCCTACATTCTCACTAACAAAACTCTGACTTCATGGTGGCAATGAGCCAGGGAGAATGAGCTAGAAGAGGACAGTTTGCTGCTTGTTTTGTAACTAAGTGCCCGAATGTAACAGTTCGGGGGGGACTCCTAGGAGAGCTCCTCACAAGGGAGACCACAGCTGGAATGCAGCATGTTTCTTTATATGACAGAATAAACCCCTGTGTGTTTAAGCCGTTGTCATCAATTCCTAAGTGATGAAATGGTGAGCCCTATTAAGGTGTCTTTCTCATGTGAAGACTTGTGTGAAGAAGCCAGAAGACATTTTCTGTCTCAGTACCTTTAGGTCAAGATACCAAGTCATCTTTAGTGGGAACATTTAGGATAATCTTATATGTCGTTAGAAATTGCTGCTTAAATCACCATAAGGAATAATGCTATCAAAAATTTTTAATGATCAGGGCGGGTGTTGTGGCAGCTACCACCTGCAACACTGGCATCCCATATGGGCCTGGTTGGTGTCCTGGCTGCTCCACTTCCAATCCAGCTCCCTGCTAATGTGCCTGGGAAAGCAGCGGAGGACGGCCCAAGTGCTTGGGCCCCTGCCACCCATGGGAGAGACCTGAAAGAAGCTCTTGACTCTTGGCTTCAGCTTGGCCTCGCCCCACCTGTTGTGGCTACTGGGAAGTGAACCAGTGGATGGAAGATGTCTCTTCTAACTCTTTCAAATAAAATAAATAAATATTAAAAAAAAAAAAAAAACAGAAAAAGTTTTAATGATTCCAAAATAACAGCTACTCAACTTGGACAAAGGTAAAAATCCTTGACATTCCTCTGTGGCTTGCAATTAGTGACGGAGCCCCTGTATCCCCCATCTAGCTGCATTCCTGGTGTTAAACAGATATTTTCAAGTTATGGCACAGATTTTGTAGGCTACAGGATGAGTTTTAAGGAATTTCAGTTTTCCTTAATTTTTTATGTCTAGTCACTGAGTTGCCATGGGCCATCAACTATGAACCTGAGATAGATCTCAGTAGGACACAAGCTGAATTCTTTCAGCGATCCACTATTAGTGTTGTGATGAAATAGAATTGTCTTTAACACAACAAATATCAACTAAACCCCAAAATACTTCCAAGCAACAGAGTGTTAATAGTTTCAGAAATATCTTCAGGAGTAATAAAATTTACAAAGAATTATGCATTAAATTCCACCAATATTGACAATTACCTATTGAGGATGCTGGAAATCTCCTTGTCATTTGATTCATAAAATTTTTAATTAAAAAAATGCCATTTCTACCTGGTTTCAGGAAGGCTGACCTTCTCAAGGTCACAGGACTAGCAACGGGAAAAGCCAAGATTTCAACATAAGGTGGCTTGACTCTGACCTCTATTCTTTTTCACAGTGGCTACTGTTTTTGTAAAATTTGGGGAAAAAATTCTTTTTTCTTTGGTTACAAAACTGGAGAGGTGTTAAAAGAGTAACAAACTTTTGAGGATATGGCATGAGTTTTTCTGAATTATCTGAAAATGTTAGAGCTCAGGAAAAGAATTAAACTGTAATCTGCCTGGGATAATAATCTCACAATCTAGAAACATGAGGTCTGAGACCCTTCCTCTCTCATTTGGCACAAGGTATCTGTTGTTTTCAGATCCCTTTCACTGGGGTACTGAGGAGTCCAGGTTCTTGTCTCCAATTCGCGATGTAAATATTAGCAGAGGAGTATGGTTTATTAGCAAAGTGAAAATACACACTCAAGAAGGGCAGCATGCTCTAGGGTGAGACTCCCACGACCCACAAGGTTTGGGGGCATCCATCTACACGACACGGAGGCAAAGGGTGTGGTGCTTTGAGTGGAGTTTTGCAGCAAAGGGCAAGGATTTCCAGGAATCTAGTGACTGCCTAATTTGAACGTTGGAGAGCCTCAAAAGTGTCACAGTGTCAGGTACATGATGAGAGTGGGAAGGTCACCCATGGTAATTTTATTAGAATGACACTATAATAATATGATACTATACTAAATGATACTACAGTATTGCTGAATGAAGTCAGCAGCACGTTAGAGATTTCTACTGGCAGCAGGTGGGTGAGAGATCTGCTACAGCAGTGATTTTAGGTTGCAGGCCATAGGGATTT